TGGAAGAAAAAGGTTACCCCTTTTCAGAAAAGTTCTCCTTTTTCTCTATTTTCATGTATTTGTGTGCTTTTTGATTGGGTTTTCTAAAGTTTGCGTTCTTGTGGTCTTGTTTATTTGAGTTTTGCGTCCTTGAATTCAATTGGACTTCGTTTAATTCTGTGCAATTATGTTGGTTTGAGGTGGGATTTACAAGACTTGCGATGTATCACCTGGGGTTATATGAAGTTTTGTTTTTTACGGGTTTATTGAGGTTTTTTGGGATTCATTTTGGCTTGTTTGGGGTGAACTGGGTTAGGGGCATATTTCCATTTGGTGTGGTTATGTGGTTTCTGAAGTGGAATTCGACCAACTACGGGTGTTCATTTGTAAATTTTGAAGCTAGGGTTGAGAAGGCCATGGTAACTTGTTTAATCGGTCTGCGTCATTTTGTTGTTTTTGGTTCTTTAATTGTTGTTATTCAGCATGAGTTCTACTCTGTGTTTGTTGGACTGGGATATGGATTCTGCTGGTGATGAAAAGGAAATGAACTTAATTTCCATGGTGATGATAAGTAAGCTGGGGCATTATATAACGACGTTGCCGTAGTTAATTGTACCTTCTGTTTGCATTAGTCGTGCATTCAATTTTATCAGTTGGAGTTAGGTTTTATTGTTATTTACTTTCATGTGTATTTTAAGATACCATCTAGGATTTCCTAACAAGACTGTGGAGAAGAAAGTGCAAGTTGAATTGAGTCTGTAGTTTGGCCTATAGCTTGTTGCCGTAATTACTAGGGTTGGTTTTGTCCAAATTACCTTTTTGGTTTCTGCATTTTCAGCAACTGGGATTGAGTTCTAAATTCTCGAAATGGTTTAATGATTTGGGCTTTGGTCAAGAATTAGGTTACACACTAGCAATTTCTAAGCTCACAATTTTAGGAACATTTTTCATTTATGCAGTTACTGGTTGAAGGTTGTTTGCTTGTTTGTACTTGATTGGTAGCATGCCCTGTTTAAATGTTTCTAAACTTTTGGCACAGTGTATTTCTGGTTTCAAAGCTGGCAAACCCTGAGTTTCATAGAAATGACTTTTTTTGGTCTTGATAGTTTATCTAAGAGTGGAAAGCGTCTAATAAGGCAATGCAGCTCTTGAAATGCTATGTTGTATTCTGCTGTGTACTTTTGAGATTGTAATTGCTACCAAATCAGCTGCTTCAATTTATGGAGCACCTGTAAGTTTCTCTTTTCTTCCATATATTTCGATTATGAAGTGTGGTAAAATCATAATTTCGTTCCACTAAATAGTTAGCTGTAACGTTTAAGATTTGGAGAGCCTTTTTTTTTTTCCTTCGGCTTGTATATTGCTTTTTGATAAGCTATATGCTTGGGAAAGCAGTTCTGTAAAGCAACTCAAGAAGTTGTTGGTTTTGTATGTCGACTGGGCTTGGGTTGTCAACTTATCATCATCACGATTTAATTTACATGAGATTGAGGTTAGAATTCTATTTATGATTTTCCTTTTTTCTCATGGAATTTTCTGTTACTGGCTTTTTTTTGGGGTGATTTGCTGTTTTTTGTTGTCACTTTCTTCTTTTGTAAAGGACTAGATCTTGAAGTATGCTTCCATCTCATGATGTACTACTAGATTAAATTAAATAAAAGACCTTCTCTTCGGTAAAATCCCAAAATTGATGGTTGTCTTCCTGTTTCCCAAGTGAAGCAAAACCGCATTAGGTAATGGCCTGTCTTAATTTGATACTTACACCTTTGGTGCAATTTTTGTCTATATAGAACACCTATATTTAGACTATTGCATAGGCCATGCCAATTTGTTCCTTCAAAGACCACTGATTTGATGGTTTAATTTCCTGTATATCTGCTGAATTGAATTCGTGTTGTTTGATTTATTTGCCAAGTTTTATCATTTACTTGCTTCCCCAACCTAATTTTCTACTTTTCTGGAAACCTGATAGTGTAAATGTTTAGTATGCCTAACTGCTGCTGGGGCATGTAATGTCTTTTATCTTGATGACTGGTATGACCAGTAGTTCAATTATTGTTTTGACTGCTATGGGAATTTAATACCTGGTGCTTGAGGTAATTATCTGATGGATCACGACTGTTGCTGACAATCATGGTCTGATATCGGTGTTTGTGGCTGCGATGATAGAACTTTTTAAGTTGTCTTTACAGTTCTTTGTGTCCATGCATGAATTCCAAATTCTACTTTGTACAACCCAGCATATTCAAGAACTTAAAATTTATAAATGCATTAAAGAGTTTCAATGTTCACATTCATTAATGTGAGCAAGCACAAGGCAGCTGAAGAGGCAGTGTTATATGCATGCCCATGTGCCATTCATATCATGATGTACCGACTGTGCTGAAACTTTTTAAGATGAAGAGATCTTTATTAGTAAATGAAAAAACATGGGATGGTCAAACTTTATAAATTTTGTATGGAAAAATGAGACCATGGATGTGAATCCAATATTTGCTTAAAGGATACTATGATTTGTTTTTATTATTCTTGAAGGAAACACTGGATGCCCTTAAGGACTAGCTTGAAGTATACTCTTCTATGCCTATACCTTTAATGTGTCTTTCATCATCGCCATATCTCGCACAATAAGTTGAAACATGAAGCTTTGGCTAAGCTTTTTAGGTTGAACATGAGTGGAAGGAAGATTGCTGGAGCCAATCTTTGTCAAGTTGCACATGCTTCAATATCAACTTGTAGGACTCCCTTGGTTTAATGCATCTTTCCTAAACATATTGCTTATCTCGTTGTCTGGGTTCTTGACTAAGCATCAAACATAAACTCCCACATTTTTTTTAATTTTAAGTGTTGTTTTATTGTGCAATGTGAACTCTATAATTCTCCAAAAATCTGGATTTATGTTCCGAAAATTGTGGAACAGGCTGATTGCTTGTCTTGGCTTACTGTTTTAGCTTTTTGTTGTGGATCTAGTCTTTCCTTATCATGGAATAGTTATTAATTCATCCTGTCTAGTCTTGATTCAAGCAGGATCCTTAGGCTATTTCTGATCCTAGATTTATGGTCCTAGTTCTGGATTTCATTACTTTCTGAATTCTTGTCCTTGAGGAACTAGCTCACTTGGCATTCATCTGTAGTTTACACAATCCCAATGCATCTGTTTTGGTAGTTAAAAGCCTTCAAGTTGGGTTCCCGTGGTGTCGTCTTTGTGTTTTTACACAATCCCAATGAAGTATCTTCCTCTCATGCAGTTTATGCTCAAAAAAGGAGGTACACCAAAGAAAAATGAAATCATATTCACAGCCCCAACAGGAGAGGAGATCACCAGCAGGAAGCAATTGGACCAGTACCTCAAGACCCACCCTGGGGGTCCTCCAATATCAGAATTTGACTGGGGAACTGGTGAAACCCCAAGAAGATCAGCAAGGATCAGCGAGAAAGCAAAGGCAACTCCGCCACCAGAGAGAGAGACTCCGAAGAAAAGAAGCAGAAAATCTTCTGCTTCAAAGAAGGATGATAAGGAGAAAGAAGCTCCTGAAGGAAGTGAAGCAGCACAGGATGTCCACATGGAAGAAGCAGAAAAATCTGTGAAGGATACTACTGGTACAGTGACTGAGAAAGATGTTGCAAAGGAAGGTCAAGATGAGAAAGGGGGTGAAACCCAAACAATTGAAACTCAAGCCACTGATAAAGATGCTGTAAAGGAGAGAGAGAATGAAAACAAGAATGAGACCCCAGCTACAGATTGCAAAGCAGAAGATACTGAAGAGCAGGAGAAGAATGTTGAAGCTGAAGTGGTGGATTCTAAAGAGTCCCAGGTTGGGAAGGTATCTGATGGCTCTGAAGATGCCAAGGACAAAGAAAAACAACAGCAAATACCACCCATCGAAGCGGAGAAAGAGGATGGGACTGGAGAAGGAGACAAGCAGGTAACTGGTGCTGAAGAAAAGAAGCAAGAAGTGGAAGCAGAAGAGAAAGTCGAGCAGAATAGTGAAGCAAACAGGAGCGCTGATGGGCAAAGTAGCTTGGTGAGCGAAAAGGCTGAGGGAGGTGTGATACAGAATGGCGATCGTGCAGAGGTTGACAAGTCCAAGCCTTGAATTTATCAAACATAATGCTGTTTATGTAATATCTTGTTCTGACCTTCATAGGCTGGTGGCTTCTTTTGAATGACAGTAGTGTTGTTGTTGAGTAATAGATACTCCGATTGTTCATGAGACATCTGTAGTATGTAAAATCATAGATTAGCAGGTTAATGTCGCTGCTGTCTTTCGTTGAACGTGTAGTGACTGAGATCTTTGTAACATTACTACCTTACATTATAGAGTAGGCCTTCAACATTCCAACCTTCCTTGCATTGAAGGAATTGTAGGTTGCATAGATCTCTGTAACATGTCGATCAGAACTGTGTCTATGTAATGATATAATAAGTCATCTTCAGTTACTCGAGTTTCCTTGGCTCGCAAGCTTACGGATATCAGTAGGTTAGTTGTTTTGCAGCAGTTTTTTGAGGTGATTAAGATGAGCTGGCTCCTCTTTGACAAGCTTCTTCAGGCAGTCAGCATCGCTGTTTCAGTTAAAGTTTTGATACCAATGGGAGATGGGTGTCTAAACGTTGCAGAAAGTGTTGAGCTAGTTAAAAGGCCATGAGATGCATAGCGACTGAGTGCCCAAAAAGAATTGGTCCCCCACTTTTTTGGGGTATTACTACTTGATAAGACTTTTTTTTTTAATATACAAAAAATTTGGATGGTTCCACCCTAGTAGTCACCATGGATTAGGACGCACCGCATATAGGAATTCTTACGGATGGTCCACCAACATAAAACTTACATTGCATCGTAAAATTTAAATACGCGATCTTTCGTAAAGAAGTGGTTCATCCCTTAGTTAATCATGCAAAAGAGAAAGGCAGTGACTGTCAACATGCGCCATTTATTCCAAATTTCCGTTCAAGGTTGAGGCGAACACCAATTAGTCAACCGCAAAAGAAAAAGGAAACAACTTCAATAGAACCAAGGTCATTGAATCGCAAATATGTGAAATGATTCAATTAATTGCGTGGTCGAGGTGGTTTCAAAGAATAATTACATCTAAATTTTCAATGTCATTAACACTTAACCATAAAGCTGGAGAAGTTAATACAGCTCATGGAATTAAAAGAATTTTGCGATCATTAATGACAGCAGTCAACCAGCTAGAGTTAGAGCCAGAAGCAAGCTAGTGAAGCATTCTGGGGGTATTGCTGGAACTCTCTGGCCAGATTGATTTTCTTCAAAGCCCCTTAAGCTTTTCAACCAACCCTGTTAAGGTTGTCCATTTTTCAAAAGCAGATGCTGATGCCACAAATGCTGTTTTAGATGCTTCAATATCATTCTTAGTCACTGCAAATTACAGATCAATTGCTCTCTCAGAGCAACAAATGAAACTATTTCACCACTCAATATTAATTGCATGCACAATGCAAACTAGTTTTCATGCATAAGTCACAACCCTTTGCTGGGAACCAAGATGAACACGCTTGCAAACACACAGAACATACCTGATGAAATTAAAGAATCAAGTGCGGAGCTAAAAGTCTCTACTTCGGATTTCTCCTCAGGGCTAGAGCTCAACTGCAGGAAGATAGGCAATTAACGCATGGAAATGCATATAGACAAGATCTACACAGTAAGGCATGTACAGTATTATTATCTATAGGATACCTTCTTGAAAGCTGACTTAACTTTTTGTACCCAATCAGTATCACTGCTTTGACCAAGAACTGACCTAGCCGTTGAAAGATCATTCTTCTCTATTGCCTGGCCTACTCTGCTGAGCTTGTAAACGAGCTCTTGCAAGTATCCTGCAGCATTAAAAAAGAATAGCTAATCAATTCCCAGAAATGACAGAGACCAAAAGCTCAGAGCGTAATGCGACATTCAGGTCATGCTTTAAGGGCATCAGTTTACTTCACGCCAAGGACTTAATTCAAGCTAAGAATGAAGATAAGCATATTAGGAGCACAATTATGTGCTAAAACAAAATACAAGGGGCATGGGCAAAAGGAAATTTACATCAAATAATAGAATCCAGTTGACTGATGTAGCAACTATGAAAGCTATTCAGATCTTGGCTAATAATATTACTGGCATGCAGCACTATCCCTTGAATGAAATTTATGTGCCTGCTTTCATGAGGGACAAGTAAACCCACAAACGGTAATCTTTGATCATAATTTTCAACTCCATGAAGATAGTAACATAACCAAGAGTGGCACGGTTGTTATTGATAAGTATCCATTAGATCTTAGAATGCATAGTTAAACACAGCCAAGCTTTCTCATGTTCACTGGTGATACATGCCAGTCAGTGAGAAACCAGTTCAGCTGGGGTAAAAGTTTCTGAGTATTTGCGCTTACATCATGAGTGAAAGCACTTGTGCCAAACGGCTTCAACTAACTAGATTTTCCGTATAAGGGACAGTAATTCATATAAGTTGATTCTAGATCACTACTATTGTATAAGTCATTAACAAAATAGATCTGGTACATTAAATAACTAAGGGATCTCTGTCGCCAGGCTTGACCTTTTCTCTATCATGTTTATCTGTCAGTGCAAACCAATTATTTCCATATACAGGTGAATTCCAACCAAAAGCAATCTAGGAAGGCAAATAGGTTCCCCCGCTCCCTCTTAATTACACGCAATTGTTTTAGCTTTTATGTTATCTTAGGGCAGGCAAACAGCATTTGGTAACTTAAAATTTTCTTGAAGCTTGATTTAGTAAGCCCAAATTATTCTTCTCCAATGTTCCATACTGAACTTTCCTAGTCATTCTAATCTGCAATCCATAAAATGTCACAGAGAAACCAACAGGAAGCATATAATATTTGCAATAGATGATCATAGCTAACCTTTAGGACAAAAATTATCCTTTTTTACTGCCCAGCAAATTACTTAAGGTAATTGGATCCTCGTACCTCCAAAGTTGGTTTTATTGCAGTAAAATCTTGGAGAAATTTGCAGTGTAAATTATGCTATGTTCGACAGCATAAATTTAGGTTACAAAAGTCAGGATTCTGCAGAAGCTTGTAATTACCCTTCTTCTCACAACTATACTTGCTGAAGAGATTCTTGCAGATTGCCAACTGCCAAGAGGTAGTAGCAAATGCAGGCTAAACTGTAATTCACCACCTATGAAAGTAACCATAATCAAGTCTCTCCACATTCCTACCCCAATTTTGAGTTTTGCGATGACATGAAATGTTTCAATAAGAATGACTAGGATTCAATAGAAGCCTCTTAAATTCGAAGAGGAATCGACTTCATGCGGCATCCAAAAGCAGCCTAATTACCAGCAAAAACGAATATTTCAACTGTTTGTTGATCTATGAGAAAACTAATTTGTTAACTCAATTTATCTGTGTTAGAAAAACAGAAACGATCTCCAACCAACTTTACCATAGCCTTAAAGACTAAAGTCTTTTAATCCCTTTACCTTGCAGTGTCAATTCAACTGATATAGAAAAGAAAATCAAAACTTTACGGAAAGAAAAGAATAATCGAAACTTTATCCAAAAACCAAAAGAAAAAAAAATCAAGAAGCAAGGTCAAAGAACTAAAGGACATGAAAGTCAAAGTAGCAAATACTTTCTAGAGGCTACATTCCAAGGAAATATTGGGAAGGATTGTTGACCTGTCTCTTGAGCAGCTGAATTGAGGACACCCTGTCTCTCAAGCCTCTTCTTTCTATCCTTCTTCACCTTTTCCAACAGCTCCTCATCATCATCCGGTTCTAATATAGCTGCATTGGCATCAGAACAACCTTTCCCAGAGAGAAAGAAGAGGAACCCTGTTGTGAGGCTAATGGAAAGGCTCCTCTTGGTGGTCAGAACAGAACAAGAAGAAGAAGAATCTTGATTCAATAGTGCTGACTTGCATGAGGTGGGATGAGTCCTAACGATTTGTTTGTGAAGGTGAAGTGATGTTAACGGTGTTGAGGAAGATGGTGATTGGAAGCATGGGAGGAGATTATTTGCATTTGAGAGCAGCACTCTTGCCATTTTTACTCTTTCTAGTACTCTTTTCTCTTTTTTTATCTTTTGTTTCAGTTTGTTTTAGTGGCAAAGAGTCAGATTTAGCGGCGATTTTGGACGTTGGGAAAAATAGAGGATAAGATTACGAGATTTCTTGCTAGGCTATGCCGTCTGGTGTCAACTGAACCATTACTAAAGAGTTCGAGGGCATTGCAGTCATTTAATAAAAAATGTAACCTGTACGACAATCAAAATAAGAGGCAGCTTTCAACTTTGGATTATCAAGTATATGTCTTATATTTTTGCACTGCAAAGATGAAAATAATTTTTTATATACTAACATGATATAAATAGGGGGTCTGAATGCATAATAATCAATACCTATTTGAATTTGAATTATAACTTTTACGCGGGTAACATGCATTCAAATACGTTGCTATATGTGGTGTTAATGTAAAAAATCTGACTCCAAAAAGATATTTGAATAGCAAGTGTGAAGTATAAATTCAGAGGTGAGTATAAATCTATTGGATAGCAAGTGTGAAATAGGGTTGGGAATTGTAGCGCATGCTCTCGCCAGGTATTATAAGGCAAGGGCTAATTTTCTCCCTCTGTTGGACAGGGGACGAGGGATTACACACCCGTTTGGTCACCCATCTAAAATACATATATATATATATATATATATATATATATATATATATATAATATTCAATATTATTAGTTATCATAACTATATTGTTAGTTATAAATATCAGATTTTGTATATGTAATATAATTAATTTATTTGTTATACTAATAATTATATATTATTACTAATACAAATTACTGATTAGTTATACTAATACATTTATACTAAATTTCTAATTACATTTTTATTCTTTTACACTTAACATTTCACAATTCACGACTAACCCTAATTTCATTCTTTTTCAACTCTTCACTCATTCCCAATTAACAATTCATAACTAATTACACTTTTATTTATTGCTACTTGAGTTATATTTGTCTCATTATGCTGGATTATATTCAAATAGTATATATATGTTTATTTTTTTGGATTAAATATTGTAAAATTACGATGGATTATATATTCACAATGACTTGGTGATGTGTTAGTATTTAAAATACTTGATTGTTGGCTAGAATTTGGCTAAATTTTCTTTATAGGACAAATTTCTAGTAATCCCCAAGGGAAAGCGGGGTGGGACGAGGGAGCAAGCGAGGGGGCAGAGGGAATGTTTGAATAGCGGAGTGAGAGGTACGGGAAGGATTCCCCGCCTCATTACCATTCCTAGTGTAAAGTGCTTCCTCATGTTTGCACTTTCGTGGCCAATTGCAAGACTCAGCCTCATGGATTTCAAATTAGACTTTAAAATGTGTGTCCGCGCACGCACATCTCCGAGCAAATTTAGATGTCGAATCTACAATAGTTAACCACCGACTGAATTAGATCATTTTTTGTTTGGAGACATTTAGCGGGTTAAATTGGGGAGACCCAATTAACCTCTATTCTTTGTAAATATTAGTACTCCATTATCCACCAAAAAACGGTGCATATTCCATCTGCTCCTTCCGTTCTAATATTGGAGTCTTTTTTGGGAATTCAACTTTTTATGGAGATATGATAATCATTATGTCTAGATGAGATGGCATTAATGACTTTATATATGTATCATTTGAATTTAAAATATTCTCTTAATGGATGTATATTAAAATATTAAGAAGTTACTCTTTCAAATAAAAACATGATAATAACAAAACAAAGGACGGCTCCAAACGTGGAATAAGTGAAAACCACAACGATATTAAGACAAACAAATTCCTCACGCATGGCAAAGGCGAATTAAAATGCGTAGTTTCAAGCAATTCTCGGGAAATGCTAATGGTCTACGACACCCATGGCTTTTAAGCCTTTTTAGGACCTAAACTGGGCCTTACTTATTATTGGACAAAAGTGTTTTCTCTTCAAAGCCCATACTTGTAGCTGTGATTCTTGTGAAGCTGATATGAATGACAAAACGTTCATGGATGAGCTTGATTTTTAAATATGTTTATTTACTTGTGAAAATAAAATTATCGACACAAACAAATTATTGCTCAAAAAATTAGTTATGTAAGTATAAAAAAATGAATAGATAAACAAAGAGAAAAATAATGGAGAAGATCTCAACCCATCAGCGGCCGATGTCAGTGGTGTTATTAAGTTCTGGGCTGGGCCTAGTTCTGGTGCAGGAGTTCTTGAAAATCCGGGTATTGTATGACAGTCAGCAACTTCTGGGAAAATGTCTGGATCAACTTTATTAAGAAAGTGTTTGTTCCATTATGGTTTTATTTACAAGTTGTAACAGCTGAATTATGTACTATTACTACATGAATTAAAGCTCCATTCTTCTGTAGCCAGCATTAAAGGCGCTTCTTTAAAGTCGGACGTTATTCACTAAAGTTTTCAAGGATCCTTTTCGGCTCATAATCAGTCCATCGCTGGAGACGCAAAAGCAAAAGTACTATACATCCATCCATCCACCCTCGTGGTTAAAACTTAAAAGAAGCGGAATCATCTAGTGGACTATTCTAAGCTCGACAGCTTAAAAGGTCTTCCGACTTTCCACTTCGTTTTGCGACGAATTTTGCCACTTGTCTGATCCACTTTATGGAATATGTATTAATAGTGGCAAAACTTTGAGCGTGCTAAAGTACCCATCCACCCAGCCGAGCATTTTATCACCATATCTTTTGATTTTTTTTGCTTTGATTTGGTGAAGGGCTGTTCTAATATTATCTTATGTTTACACGTATAGAAATTCAAGATCACCTACCTTTCTTGCTTACCCAAATAATTCCAATCAACGTTTAAAGCGACGATGGTAACAGATATGATTAATGCTTCGCCAATAGATATTCCAAGGCGTCTTGTCTTCATGTCCGAAAACGCAAAAATGTTTGGTAGACCCGTGGGATTCTTTTTCAGTTTTGCTGTCACCAAATGATGCCCCTCTTGGTGGTGGGACGGTTAAGTTAGATGATAAGTCGAAAGGAATTACAAGTGGATGGTTCAGGTTTAGAATCTCTTACTTATGTTAAAAAAAAAAAAAAAAAAAGACGTGTTTGACATGTATGATTAAGAAGAGGCATGATTAATTTTAGGGTTAAAAACAAAAAAATCTCCTGTGATATATCTAATACACAGAAAAGTCCTCCGTGATTTCAAAACATACAAAACGACACCTCATGTTTTGAACTAAATTGTAAACTAACAGAATTCGCTAAAGTTAACGAAAATGACGGTCTCAACTGTTAAATTTATTGGATTCCGTTAAATTTATCGTTAAGTTTACCAGATTCCGTTAAATTTTCCATTAAATTTATCGGATTTCGTTAAGTTTAACGAATTTTGCTAGTTTACAATTTAGTTCAAAACATGAGGGTGTCGTTTTGTATGTTTTAAAATTACGGGGGGGCTTTTCTGTGTATTAGGTGTACCACAGGGAACTTTTTTGTTTTTAACCCTTAATTTTACAATTAAACTATAGCAAGGAGCTGCAGCCCTTTACTGCTCCCTATAGCTAAACAAAGTATACATACACGCTAAGATAGTATAACTCTAGTCATAGTGCTAAGTAATTACCCCAATGAAACTTTAGAGGTTGGCCAACTTGTACCAACCGCGCTAACTAAAATGATTGTTCAATGTGGAAAGTTGCCTGACGCGCTAATCTTGTTTATTACTCCTACATTCTTTCCTTTTCCTCCTATATTGGGAGCTTAATTCGAACCTTAGGAGCTAAGATATTCCAAATCTAGGAACGGAAGTCGGAAAAACTCCGTACCCAAGTCAACCAATTTCTTGAGCAAGTCTCCGGGTATTGTAATTGACAAAACGATGTGATCATGCAATTGTGATAACCTTTTTCTATTGTTCTTTTTATCAATTTCTCCTTTGAAATACTACTTTTGAGTACGAGAGGTTTTAGTGGTTTGACGATAATGACTTGCATATTCTTGAATCTTTTACACGAACAAAAAGGATCGATGAAGGATTTGTCTGCAACGCGTAGGATTGGAGTTACGTGTCCCATGCGTAATTCTTAAAAGCGTAGTCTGCTGACAAAAAAGTAGTCTGCTGACAAAGGTTTTCGACTCAGCCTCTTCACTAGGAAACATCGCGTTCCATGTCATGCAAGCAGGAGACGCAAACCCTATATCTTCGAATTTTCCACTACTTTATTCGTGTTGGTAAGTTTTTTTTTTTTTTTGGGTCCTTTAATTATAACCATTTATTTAGATTTTAACCAGAGTTACGGAACTGCTGCTACAATAAACAGCTACGAAACTTTAAGAAATCGAGCAAAACTCTAAGATCTTTTTTTTTTAATAATTTTTTTGAAAAAAAATTTGTAGTGTACTCTCTTAGTATGTTTTTTAATTTTTTATCATATATATATATATATATATATATATATATATATTACGTTGCAAAAGAGTATTACAACGTTATTTTTTAAAAACAAATATTTCCAAAAGTCCTTGAAAATACAATAAAAAGGGGAGCTATAATTTGAATAATTAATTAGTGGGAAAAAGAAAATTCAATTGCGAAATTGCATTATTTAAATCAAAATTCACGGAAGGCGAGACGAAGATGACTCGTTGGAACTTGGAAGTTGGAAGGATGGGACGAGGTCAATGTCGTGCCATGTCACATGTGACAGGGCAACGGGCAGGGGGGGACGGGGATTGATAACGTCGTTTGGAAATTGGATCATAGGCTCACAAGTCACAAGGCTCGATAGAATTGGTGCGTGTGGGAGCCCAGAGAACAAATTGACAACATGGTACAGTCTCATTAGTAGTATTATACCCTTTTCAGCCCTTTTTTTTTTTCACTTAGGGTGTGTTCCAACTTTTTTTGTCCAGACTAATTTTCAGTAGAGCCCTATCCAAGGTTTCCAGCAATTTTAATACAACGGGGTCGAACACAGGATCTTACGTAAAAATGAACTTACCAGTCCCGCTCGAGCTACTCGTGAGGGCTCCTTTTCAGCCTTTCAATCAGACAAATTTCCTAAAACTGTATAAAGTCTTGTCTTAAAGATACACAGTATGCCTCT